ATAAAGAAATTGTGGATTAGTCATGTAATGGAATATTCTACAGAAATAAAAATGAAGGAAGCTCGTGGAGTAGTCATGAAATGAAGTACTTAACAGAAGTGAAAATAAAGGTACTACTGATATACACATCTAAAAATGTGTAAATCTCAAAAGCATAGTATTGAATAAAAGAAGTCAAAGAATGTAAATCAGTAAGATTCCATTTACTTAAAATTTAAAACTGAGCAACACAAAGTAATACGTTGCTTAAATCTACATACATAGGCATGAAAACTATAAAGAAAGTCCAGAACTTACTCTTAAGTGGGAGGGAAAGACAATGGAGATGTATACAAAACAAGTCTGAAGGTATCAATAGGCTGTATTAACCTGGGTGATAGGCAAACACGTGCTTGCATTATTGTTATTTAATATGATCAGAGATATGTTTATATGCACAATTTAAAATAATTAAGATAGATCCAAACAAGAGAGCAGTTAGGATCCTTGAGACAATGCATTTGGATTGGCTTCAGAACAAATGAATGGATATTTCTTGCACAGAAAGAAGGGCGACTCATCTGACAGCAGAGCAGGGAGAAGCAAGGATGGGAGCAGATGTATGTACGGAGTGGGAAGATACATTGAGAAGCTTAGAGAATTCATGTCTGACTGACCGTTTTCATGGATATAGGAGGTGAGAGAGTCTGCTGAGAATGAAGGGGTAGGTTTGGGTAGAAGGCATGAGGAGGAAAGCAGAGGCTTAGGGGAGAATTCCACAGAGAAGCTGGGTTGTCTTTGATAACATCTAGAGGCGATCTCTATGGCTACCTAAGAGAAGTTGTTTTTAAATTTTAATAGTTGTGAGTTTTTCCTATTCCAATGGTTTTTTATTTTAAGAGCTTTAAAATGTTATTATATGTTAGGAAAAAAAACAATTAGCTTATCTAACCTAATATTTCATGGGTATTACTTACAAAGCAAAAGTACTGTTTCAAAACAGTTAATTTGAAGAAAGTTATTCAGTAAATATTAGCTCAGGTGCTACTTTGGTATGGCAAAAATCCCAATGGTGCTACTCAAACTTTTGGGAAACTTTGATATTTAAATAAGATATCCATTAGGGCAATTGGTAAAAGAGGAATGCTATGCACGAAAAGACCTAGGAGTAGTGCTGAGACCCAACTGTACCTGAAAGTACAGCTCTGCAGGGGCTCAGACCTTGACTCTTGGAGAAGTTCCTGTGCTCTCATGGAAATGTTGCCAGTAACTTCTGAGAAACTTGAATTTGCCACAAAGATAAACTGGAGCGTGAAACTGTTCATTCTTGAATCCAGCAACTCCTGCCCCTCTTGTTGGACAACAGGTGTAATTATAATAGTATCATAGCACAGTCATAAAGGTAGGAACTCTACTATGGAAACAGGTGAGAGTTGCTCACGAGGAGAGCTGGAGACGATGACAGTTTAGCAGGTGGGCAGGGAAGTCACATGAGATAAAAGCTCAGAGGGATGGAAGGGCACGTTGAGTAGAGGGTGTGAGAGATGATCCCAAAAGGCCTTCCTAACTCAGATGAACTGTTAATAGCCTGCCTTGATGGAGAAATGGTCTTCTTCTGGTCACTAGAGTGCTGTATTTTTACTCACATTAATACTATGGTAGGCTTTCTGGGAGGGCTATGGCAGGAAGCTGTCATCATCCTTAGTTTGTTTGTAACCCAACCTAGGTGGTGGGAATGGGTCACAGAATTGAAACAGAACTTTTTTTTCATAAGAGCAGCTGTGTATCCAGAACCTGAGATTGCCTGTGTAGAGTGTTCTCGGGGAATGTCCCAGGCAACCACAGGCTACTGATTAATTAGGGAGGGAAAGGAGCAGGTTTCCAGAGGGGCTGACTCAATGAGGAAGACCATCCACATATGCATTCATCAAATATCTTTAAATTGTGCCCTAGTGCTAGTTGGGAGTATGACTGGTCTGTATAGACATGGTCCTTATCCTCATGGAGCTTACATGGAAGAGACTTCTGTGAATTAGCAAACCATCAGTGTTCTTTCAGGCTTTCCCAAAGCCGTTGGAAATGCCAGCATGAAAAGAGCTAAGAACTTAGAGGCTATGCTGGTTTTTGTTCCCTGAAAACAATCCTTTGTATATTCACTATGTTGCTTCTTTAGGCTCTCCACAGAGCCAGCTGGAGAGACTGTGGTATATGCTCTTCCAGTGGAAAAATTGCTCCCAAATTGCTACTTTCCTAGAAACATCTTAGTTTGCCACTAATCTCAGGCATGCCTATAGGAATGCTAGAAGGCCTTGATGGCAATATTCACAGGCTTTTCCTTAAATATAAGCAAATATATACTAATTGGTTCAATCCTTTTAAATACCCTGAACAAAAGATGAAGAGATAACTGGATAGGCATGGAACACATAATTAAGGGGAAGAGGAAAGAATTTCAAAGTTCATATTCCTTGAGTTCTTGGTATCTCAAGATTATATCCAGTAAGATGTTGATAATTTCTTGCCTGGGGTCTTTGGAATCCTAAAGGGTCAGTAGATACTCTTCAGAATGGTCCATGGATGTCCTGATGTTGTATAGAAAAACGTAGAAGTATGGGCCCATACTCTCAAAGGGACCCCCCAAAAGTCAAGAAACACTTCTATAAATCCCGTAAAAGTGCTTCCATGAATGCTTTCTATGAGGATATTCATGGATGACATTACATAATTGTCACAGAACATGAGGCAGTGACATCAAACAACATGGGAGACCTGGCCTCCATTCCAGTTCCCTGACTACCAGCCACGTGGCCTTGTACAAGTCTGGGCCCACTTGAGCCTCAGTTTACTTATCTATTAAATGGGGGAAAGGATACTTTTGCTTCCTACTGTTTTGTGTTAAATGATCCAATGTATGTGAAAAGGCTATAGAAACTTCAAGGTGATATTCAAAAGCAAGAGGCTTTAGAAATGTTTACTAACTGTACCTGTAGCCAGTGTCACGTTCTTGGTCACTAGAGGGAGCTTTAGGATTCAGGGGAAAGATAAAGTTAGTGATGTCTCTCCTTGAAAGCTTAAGGCCTCTATGAGGAGTTCAAAAGCTTTTGCCTTTTAAAAACATCCACTTCAATTTTTCTTTCTTTTTTCTTTTTTTTAAATTCACATTAAGGTCTATAAAAGCAGATATGACCATAGTTCCTTGTGACATATTTTCCCACCCATTAGTCAATAGGATTCTTCTGAGTTTCTCTATGACAAATTTAGTTTATAGAAAATCCTAGTATTTATGTAGAATCAATTCAAAAGCAAAAAAAAACAAAAACAAAATAAAAAATTTTAAAAAGTAGAAACAACTTTCCAGAAGACTTGGGAACAAAGTACTTTTCCATGAGCAAAAATGATGCACTGTAAATTCTATACCACATGGCAATAGTTTTTCAAGGCGAGGATTTTTATACCCCAGCAGGATGGGGAAGTACCTTGTCTACCTTGGGTATGCACTCTTACTTTGGATTTCCTGATGGCATTCTCTGTAGTTCTTAATTGGTATGCTTTTCTCAAGGCAGGGCTAGAGTAAAAGGAGTCTTACTCGTGTGAAGGAGCTTGCCTGGTTTACCAGAGGACTCAGACTGGTGTGAAGGAGAAGGTATGAGAGAGCGAAAGACACTGACCTTGAACATTAGGGAGTCAGACTTCCACTGACTCACTACGTGTTTGGGGGACAATTTTTGTCCCCTTTTAGGACCTGAGTTTTTCTCTCTCTGCCTCTGACCACTACCCCATCCTCCTTACCCCACCCATGTACACCCATTGTCAGATGGTCATTCTTCATGACGTATGAATCATTAGATGACCAGAGTCAGGCCCCAGATCATGAAAGGCAATTATTGCAGGAGCACAAAGCTCTTGGATTTGTCTGATTTTCAATCCAAATTTATTAGAAGGTGAAATCTTGATATTTCTCTTCTTTATAGCCCTTCAGCTTGTATTTCAGTCCTGCAGCAAAACAGATGCCTGCAGAAAAAAGTGAATATCGTTTTTTTCCCACAAATATTTGCAGGAAGCCATGTAATGACTTCATTGCTTATATCCATTAGCAAAACTGGCCAATGAAAATTGTCAACTGCTGATCTGCCAGATTTTCTTGATTCTAAGATATATTCCCACAAACCCTGCCCTCCTCAAGTTTACTTTTCAAAAATGGGCACATGTCTGTGACTTATTTAAGGAAGCGTTGACCTGAAAAGCTATGATTAGATCTATGGTGTTTCCTGCAATCAGTGGCCTTTTTGAATTAAGGAAGTATACTAGAAAATACTTTATTTTTGTTTTGTATATTTCTCACACCTGGAGGCTCACAAAGGTCCCCTCTGTTGCCACATTCATGATGTCATTGCAGCTATTGGTGTCTCAGAAGTCACCCTAACAGGAAGGGATTTTTCTGCTAACAAAGAGGCTGCAGGTTATAAAGGATGAGGCCCTGCTAAGCCCATTCATTGCAGTTTACGAGAAACAGCTGCCTTTCCTTGTAGAGACACTTGTTGAAGGCTTTCTGCTCTGTGGGCTCTGAGAAAGAAGATAACTACCAAGAAGGATTCCTGGTGGCTAACTGAGCTCAAATTTAAAAGTAGAGCCTATCAGCTGTTTCTAAACAGGGGTCTTTTATGCAAACCGCACTTTAGGGAGAAGCCCACATTGAACTGCCTGCCTCCTGAGCCAGCCTTTAAAAAGGAGTTCCTGGAATAGTATTTCAACCAATAGGACTGAGGCTTTCTCCGTCCAATTGGAGCTGTGCAGCTATATTTCCCCCCCCCCCCCCGCCCCAATCAGCATCTTCACTGATCAATTAGAGCAGCTTTAGTCTGACCAATCAGGACAGTGCCTTTTGGACCAATCAAACTGTGAGGATTTGGATCCCTCATTTGCATGAGGATGGACCAATCAGGACCAGGGGCGGGGACTTCTGTCTATATAAGTAAGCTCCCTCCTCCCCATTCCCCTGTCTATCTAGCTCAGCACACATTCCTTTTCTGCCAAAGAGTGTTACTCTGGCTGGAGCTGAAACACTGAAGCTACCTCAATGGAGCAGAGCGGAGCCTACTGGACTAGAGAAGGTGGAGCAGAGCAGAGCAGGGCTGTCTAGCCAGAGACGGGCCTAGCCCCAAAGCCGCCTTGTAGCCACGCTGCTTCATAATTCAACTGTAATATTATTGAGCCGTTCCACATCTAGACTGTATCACAATTTAGCTGTTGGCCCTGAATAAGTTTTCCTCTTCACTGCACCCCAAATTGGAGATTCCTGTTGGCGTTGCATTGGTGCCAACAACTATCGGCTGACAGCCCCTTCCCCATGAATTGTAATAGCTAACCGAGGCTAATCAGCTAATTTGGGTCAAACTTGGCTGGAGGCTCTGCCAGCCCATGTTAAGCCTGACTGTACCATGTGAGCACTGGGAAGTTTTCCTAAACAATGCCAACGCTTGATCGATGATTTTGTTAATGATTCCAATCCGAGTCGTTTTCTCCCCTTTTTGTTCTCCAGAGGCTGCTCTTTCTTCTGCAAGTTTTCAGATGGTGAAGGTCAGAACGTGAGCATCAGAATTATTGTTCCCTCCTTTAGGACTTCTGAAACTTTAAGGTACATGCAAATCACAGGATCTTGTTACAATGCAGATTCTGATTCAGGAGATCTGGGGGGTGGGGTAGGGTGGGGTGGGCATGAGAGGAGCTGGTGATACTGATGTGGCTTGGTTTTTGGACCACACTGAATAGCAAGGCTCTTGTTAATTTTTCTCTATATTTCCTGTTTCCAGTTGATGCATGTTGGTAAGACAAAGAATACCTCTTTAATCTGCTCCTCAGACACTGTCAGAAATGAAGAATGAATAAGTAAGGATTTCAAAGCCCACAGGAAATCATGAGGTCACAAATTGTATCTTCTGAATTAACAATTAAGTTTGGTAAACCATGACTTTGAATTCTCATTTGTTGCAAAGCAAAGCAGGATTTCGAGAATAGACCCATAGTGCGCAAAAACGCAGAGAGCATTCAAGCAGATCTGAGTTTTCTTATGAGATCGCAAAGTAACTGTTTATTTGAGGTTATTAATTTTTTTTAATGGCAAGCATTATGCCCTGTACTACGTTTAAGTAGAAATCTGGTGGGGACTACATGAGAGTTTGTGTACCAATTCCTTATCTTTATCCTCACTGCCAGGAACCCAGTCTAATTATTGCTTATGCAGAGGGATGAATGTCCTTTAGGTGTGAAGTAATTTCTGGTTTTTCTTTGAATATTCTCAGGAGAGCTGCTTTTTGGATTTGCTGTACTGAGTTTTTTAGACCTTTCATTTGGCTCATTGTATGTTGCTTTGGATCTGTTATTGCCACAATTTCTGTTTTCTTGGTTAAAATATAAATTCATTATAATTGTAGGTTATGCCTTCTGTTTTATAGGACTGGAAGATTGGAAGTGGACTTTAAATTCCTCAAATCCAATGTCCTTTTCAATGTATGATTTTCTATTGTATAAGCCAGCCTCTGCTGGAAACATCTGGTGATGGGGACCTTACTACTTTCCATTCTATCCTTCGAACAGCTCTGACTGTTAGGGAGCCTTCCCTAATATTGGGCCAGGTGTTGTCTTTTGATCAATAGCTCAGTTTTACTCACTGAGGGCCATCCTTTGTCTTGACTAGGAGGATATGGACACACTATATATTGTTGGGCAACTGACGTGTTCAGGCCTGGAATGCAGGGTTTCTCGGTGCCTTTGGCAGTTCCTCATGCATCAGAGTAGACTCTAACTCCTGATGTGAGGAGTAAGGTTGGGATGGAACCCAGCGCTGCATTCCCAGAAACTGCATGGGCTGGGACAGTCACTGCTCATAGGATTTTACCCCGTTTTATTACAGGGGCTTAAGATGTCCTGCAGTTCTTTCTTACATGAAGCCTAACTTAAGCCTCAAATGAAATACAGGATCGGGATTCATGATTACTCATGGATTTTTGCACAACGAAGTCATTCAATAGGAATCTTAGAAATGGCTGCGATTTCCAGAAAATTGTTTCTTTTCTTTCGTTTTCACCTAAAGCAAAATTTTAAAACTGGAAAAGCTGGACTGCAGTCTTCCTCTTCTAGCCCCCTTTCAGAACCATTCTTCCCTCCTATTTTCTGCTCCATGGGTGAGCTGAGCTCCAAGCCTTCCCCTCTGCTGCACTGTTCTGTGCCTTGGGCCATTCTTTGCTTCTTCCTTGCCCTTTTCCCTTGTCAAAACTCACCTGTCCTTTGTCCAATTCTCTCAGCAGCTGGGTTTATCTGCCTGACCCTGACTGTTAATTTGGTCCCTTTCACAAGTCATTGATAATGTGTAAGATGGGTCTTGCTTTATCTGCCTGCCTCAGCATCATAATTCCTTAATCCAATCAAATGCATGTCTCCCCATGGCCCTTAGATAGTGGCTTTTTAGTGGGGAGGGGTAGGTAAGATCACGGATGAGAAACTGTTTTGGTCTGTGGGCCCCTTAGCACAACTTCACAAAACATGCATCTCCTCATTGAACCGGACTAGTTCTGTTTTTCATAAACAATAATAACAGCAGCTCTTACTGCATGTGGTTATTCATTATAGTTACTTACTAGGCTTTGGCTACTGGGCCTGGGACCTAACAGATTTCTCATTTCATGTTCATGACAGTGCTGTGATATAGAAAGAATTAGTCTCATTTTACTGATGAGCTAACTGAAGTTCAGAGAGGTTAGGTAATTTGCCTAGCATCACACAGCTACTACATGGCAGAGATAGGTCCAAACCAAGGTCTGCCTGACTGAGGCCCATGCTCTTAAGCATGTAGCCTCTTTTTCTCTGATCAACCAACAAAGCAGAAGCCTAAGATCGGTGATATTCCCCAGACAAGCCCTGCTGTGTCCACCTTGAATATAACCTTCCTACTGCACCTAAGTGTGAAAAAATTACCACTGTGCTCATCCCTACCCTCTAAGCTCTCACCTCTCTTACTTTTCCATGCTGAGAAAAGCTGCTTCTGGCTTCTGCATGTGCAAGAATAATAAGTGTTTGTTTTTTAATTACAAGGATTTATTATAGAATGGGAGGAGGGATACTAACACATCCCATCTGGGGTTACTTAAAAAGAACTGTGTTCCTGAGTATATGTGCTTTTTCTTTTTCTCGGGGAACAATTCCAGCAACAATTTGGTACGTGAAGCATAGCGTGGTTTAATAGGATTCGGGTGACTGAGACATCTCAGTGTCATTTCTGAGAAAGCTAGATGGCTCATCACCTTTAATGAATGGGAAACAAAGTTGCCCCAGTGTCAGCCTTAGGGAGGTGGGTTTATACCTGTGCCTGGGTTTATTACATTTTTATAAAAAGGACATCCCCATCAAAGTCTCCTTTTGGGACAAAGAGAATAAAGAAGACAACAAAATGCTGCCTTCAGGATAAATGCATCAGTTTGCAAAAATTCACAGGGTTTCCCAGAGTGGCCACCCACAGAGGCAGCAACATCTGGCTGTCATGCTGTCACAACAGGGGAGAGCAGTGCTTGGGCACAGGGTGAAACAGAATGTTCCTTATAACTGGATGGAAGACACGTAGTTAGACTGAAGCCAGGAGGCAACAGACCTCCCCGGGCTCAGGAAAATGCCGCGCTGAGTGAGGCCATAGGTCCCTAGGTGCAGCCATATTTGTCCTGTGACAGGCTCACACACAAATCAGAAAAATATGCATCTCCAGAGAGGTTGTTGCATGTTTTCAGAACAAAAGTAGAATGGATTAATATTTCATAAGAATAATAAAGAAACCTCTCCATTCTTGGAAATATAGTTAGCTGAGGAAACCCTGCTCTCCATGAAAGACAATTTCCTTCCTTCCTTCCTTCCTTCCTTCCTTCCTTCCTTCCTTCCTTCCTTCCTTCCTTCCACCCAATGTTTACCAAGTGTTTCTTATGTGCCAGGATCTGTGCTATGTGCTTGATATATGAAAAGGAACAAGAAATTGTCCTTACTTTCAGGAAGCTCACAGGCCAGTAGAAGAGACTCATAGAATGAAATAATTGTTATTCAGTATGCTTACAGGAACCTTGGGCGGGTCACCTAACCAGCTTGAAGGCATCCATGAAAGCCTCCTGGAGGAGGCATCACCTGAGCTAGATCTTGCAGCATAACCAGGATTAATCCTCCAGAAATCTGTATATTTACATAATATCACTTTGCCATCTAACAAGAAATGGAAAGACTAAGTAGATACAGTAAGTCCCCGACTTACGAGCATTCGAGTTGTGAACTTTCACAGATATGAACGGACCTTGCATTACGAACATTGGTAGATGCGAACAAATGGCGGAAGTAGCTCACGTGTCTGCCGGACATTGTCACAGTTGTGCTGTTGTGTGCTTACTGTACAGTGAGATCCTGTACAGTAGTACAGTGCTCAATCAGAGCCCAGGATGTCTGGAAGCAAGAGGAAAAGCAGTGGTGATGTGGAGAGGACTGCTAGGAAGTGTCAAAGGTGTATAAGACTCACTTTGTCGGACTTACGAATGAATCCGACTTACAAACGTTCTCCCAAAATGGAGCTCGTTCGTAAGTCGGGGCCTTACCGTATTCTGTGTGTGTGTGTGTGTATGTGTGGTGTGGGGGAGGAGATAAAGTGGGTATTATGTAAAAAATAGGAATTTAAGCATTCAAATTGAAATGTTTGAAGGGGAGTGCTGGCCATTGCAGGCTGTTTTTGGTTGACTAAGGTTGGAGTCTTCACCACTTCAGAGGTGTGTGTCCCTGAGCAAACTGCTTAGCATTCTAAGATCCAGTGCCTCACAGAGTTTTCAGGTTTCAATGCGGGAACACTTGTAAAGCATTTGCTTAGGGGCTGGCTTATTTAAATGTCAATAAATGTCAACTCTTATCATGAACACTGCTATGCTATCATCAGCAGTGTTCTTTTACTGATTACCCTCCTAAGCTCTCTGAATCTCCTGTCCCTGATTTTTGCCTCCAGGGAAAAATTGAGGTTACAGGAGAAAAATGAAACAAAAAGAATATAAAAAATTAGGGTGCGATGGTGATTATCGTCTTCTCATTGAGAGTTGGTAGAGTTAAGAGGACAGCCTCCAAACAAAAGGAACACACTCCCCCTTTCTCCTCCTATCACCAATCCTGCCTTCAGCCTGTTGGTCTCTTGCTTAGAAAGGCAAAAGCATTAGTGACATGCAATTTAGAAAACTTTTAGTTCTGCTGATACTAAATAACTGAAAGCCCTCTAACTGGAAAACTCCTTTTACTAATTGCAATAAATATAGTCCCCATGGGGGAAAAAGGGAGCGAGGTGGGGAGATTATGAAAACCTAAGGAGAAAGAGCGTGAGCTGTTGCTGCAGTTGCACATGGGGATGGGAGATGAGGCCTTGGGTCTGCCTAAGGTGAAGAGTTGCAACTGAGACCCTTTTAGAAAGCTGGAACTAGCACATGGTTATGCCTTCACTAAATGATGACCAGAAAAAATCCTGCCTCGAGCACAGAAGATGACAAGGAATAGAGGCCTACCTCACATGGGTTTTGAACTTAAACTAAATGCATGGTCCTGGAACTGCCTGCCACACCTCCCCAGCTGAGAAATCAG